TGTGATGGATGTACACAGAAAAACTTTATGGCTGAGCCCGCAGGAGTGTACAGCGGTACAACTTGTATTTGATTCGCTGGGGTAATTTTTGATTGAGATGTATCCGTCGTTGGTTGTGTCTGCGCAGGTCCATCTTCTCGGTCTTCGCTATTTTCAGGCTGCTCGTTGGATGGTTGGGAGTTTGACCTTTGTGCACCAAGTCTGACAGTAATATCTTTTATCAATTTTAGCGGAGTGGTATCAGGCTGCATAAAATAGAAAACCTGAAGGACATACAACAATCCAATCTCTTAATATAAAGGCCACTTAAGGTGTCTTACTCAGTTCAGTTTTGACAGGTGTAACCCCACAGAAAAATATTCCAAGATATTTTCCCTTCGGTAATAAGTCTTTTACAATTAATGAACGACCGAGTGGCTAAGAGGGACTGGGAATTAGTAGGTTTAATCACGTTTTCTCAAAATCTCCCCGTAGGACCCCACCTCAAACTTTCAGGAATTAGAAAGTGGCTCTGATTAAACATTCATGCAAAGTTAAAGAAAAATCTGTGAGACAGATTTTTCGCAAACAAAGAAATTGTGATATTTTGCCTACTTCAGGTGACGCCACGTATCGCGTGCAAGAAAGCAATAGTAAATTAAAACTCCTTCAGTTACCAGTTGTTTATCTTCCTTTTTTTGTCATTTTTTATTGGTCCTAGGCTTAAACAAATGTTTGAAAGCAGTTTGAAACTATCGACACGTATACCAAAGTGGTTTAACGTGTTTTAAGTGCTAAAGTTGTTTTCGCTTTTCTTGGGGTTACTTGCGTCTTTTCTGCACGCGCGACTAATACTGACGTCCGACTGGTAATCGTAGCACGTGCTACTGGGTCTCGGAAAAACTGTAGCAAGCCACCTTAAGCTTGTAAAGTGCAATCGCTTTACCGTTCCTTTACACGTCAATATTACGTTGTATCGTGGATGGCTCTTAATTTGATACTGTTATTGTGAGAACTTAGTGGTACTAAATAATTTGAAGTGATATCCCTGATTGCAGTCTCCTTGCTAATTCAATTAACCGCAAACTTAAATCTAAACCTGCATCTTTACCACTCTTGAAATTTTCAGAACCTTAAGCAACACACCTCAAAAGAGACTTGAAGATTGGATTGAAGCTGCATTTTCAAAGTCAGAGATCCAGTGGAATCGGCGCCGTAACTGTAAAAGCTCTTGTTCAGATCTGTCTCGGAAGGTGATGAAATTCCTGTCCATTCTGTAAGTAAGATGGAAACATATTCATTTACAAGCTCTGCTCTCTTGTGTGCATCCTTCTCTAGGATAATCGCTTGCGCCAGAGATTCTGTCGACCTGGTCTGACTCTCGGGAGCACTGATTTCAGCAGTGATGGCTGAGAGTCGGGAAGTCTTTCTCAGTCCAGGATTGCTTTTAATGAATCGAGTCCAGTCCGCATCAAACAGAGAGATTTGGCAGCGGCCTGGCTCTTCAGTTAGAACTTTGGCCATGAGTTTTACTCCTGTGAAAATAATCATAAATTAGCATGACCCAAATCTTAAATAAGAATTAAGGGTATTGTTACTTGCGATGAAATAATACCGAGTGCTTTTGCTTCACTAGTTCAATTGTTTTAATTTCTGAACGTAAACTAGAACGTGCAATCCACAGCTCGAATACTTCTGAATCCTTATTTTGACGAGGTTTTTCAATCAGTCATTTTATTTAAGAACTCGGTTAAAATATTCAGTACGTAAGTACTATAGTACATCAACATAAATACCAATCTAATATTTAAGCAGCGCTTATACTTACGCTATTACTACTTAGCAGCTAGATGAGATCGACGTCAAGAGCGAATGCCCGTGCATAGGTAACCTCGGTACGTGCGTTCTTCAAAATACATCTTACCTTCCTTTGCATGAATGAAGCCCAATCCAGCCTTGGTCAGCAGTTTAACGATACCAGTTTCTCGCTCCATTACACCAGCTCCACTGATTGGTCCCCAGTTTATCGCCAGTCCGGGTAGACCGAGCACGTGTCTTCGGTACTGAGCGAGGGAATCTTGAAAAGCATTACAGGCGGAATATGACGATTGTCCCATGTTACCAACGATGGACGCCATGGATGAAAACATGACGAAGAAATCCAGATCCATTTCTAAGCTCATTTGGTGAAGCAAAAATGAACCTAACATGATTTGAAACAAGTTATTGATATGAGATAATAAACTAGAAAAAAGCAAACTCTGTCAGTTGTGCTTGAAAGCAAAATTATCAAGATGACCTATTCGGTTTGTGTCAACATAAGCCTCGACCGCTATATCTCTCTGTTTGTCACGCTCAAGTACTTCTATTTTTTAGTTCTTTTACCTTTGATCTTAGGGCCCATGACTTCGGTGAAGCTTTCAAAGGTCAGATCCTTGATAAATTCGTCTCTAAGAACCATGGCAGTGTGCACGATTCCAGCCACACTTGGAAGAGATTGAAGCCGTTGTTTAAAGGAAGACATCTGGCATTTGTTCGAAATGTCAACCTACGAAAATGAAATAGGATTTAATTAGGTTCTGTTCCTTTTTTTACTGTAGATTTCTATAATTCTAAAACAACCCCCTTATCTAAGTGCCAGAGTATTTAGCACTGCTATGTTAATTGCGGACAGCAAATAACGAACAAGTATTGCAGTTTGAACCTGGTGAAAATCCCAACTGCCCTAGGGATAACCAGTTGGGTATTTACATCGCGCTGTGGAGGAGTTGAACTACAAAGAGTTTTGAGAACGAATTCAACTGGTGGAAGGAGGAGGATTTGAACTCCACTCCAGAGAACTCCACATGCATTTGAAATCCATTGCACTTAATCAATTGACCACCCTATGTCCTTAATTCCATTGTTTGTGTATAATGCCTTTTCTATTTACGTGATTACAAATTTGTTGCAATCTTGCCTTCTTGTCGAAAACAATACATTTGAAATCCTTGAAGTATGTACAAGATCACGTCGACAATATGACACTGTAATAATTACCTGAAAGATGTGGATCTTAGCACCGGTCCTCTTCTCAATCGCTCGTATCCACTGACACTTGTCTTCTGAGGGCTTGGACCGACCAATAAGCCCTAGAGATCTTGCTCCATTCTCTATCATCCAACAAGCAACTTCAAATCCAAATCCTCGGATTCCTCCTGCTACCAGGTAAGTTCTGTTTTCTTTCAAACCACACCCGTCTAAGCCGCGAGGGAGAACTGGAATATGTTGCAGGTGATTGTCTTCTTCAAAAGATGCATACGAGTAGATTGGAAAGAAAACTTCTGAAAATGCCTTTACTTGGAATTTTCGACTTGACGTGTTTACCGCTTTGATTGACTTCGTCAAATCAACAGTCTCGAGCTGCAATGAAAGAAGCTTTTCAAGAACTCCTTTATCTTCCAGCAGTTTAAGACTTTCTAAACTGAGTTTCTCGAAAACCAGGCGAGACAGAAGAATGTGTGCTATGTCCTCTCGCTCGTATCTGACACTTGTATTTGCGGGAAATACGACGTCACCATGGAACTCAGAGCTCAAGATAATGACTCTTCCTCCTCGTTTAAGAGACCGACTACTTTTTTGAAGAGCATTTGGAGAAGGTGGATAGAAAAATACAACGGCATCGAAGGGGTCGTTGTAATCACTACTGAGATTGGGGGAACTCTGACGCAGCACACCTTCCGCACCCATTTCAAGCAGAAGAGTCTTTGTAGGCGTTTGGCAAGTGTCGGGAATGGTGCAAAATACTCTGTGACCCGATGTTTTTGCAAGACAAACTGCTGCTGGTCCAGGACCTCGGTTGGCTTCATGTATCAGTAATTTCTGGTTTTGTTCACCAGGAAATGCCATTTGAAGAGCGTGAGATGCTATGGCTAAGCACGCAGGAATAAATGTGGCCTGCTCCTTTGTCAGGCTTGCTGGCTTTACAAAGACGTCACTGACTTGGATGGACATGGAATGGGAAACCCGTCCAGTGGAAAGAACACCACACACCTCGTCGCCAATCTGGAAAGTGGGTTCGCTCTTCTCAGGTATACCAGTCACTTTTCCAACCACGAAGACACATCCTTTTGGTTTGGCTACATCGGTCAGAGATTCAGAGGGTGTCCAGCTATAAAGCAGGTCTATTGTCAGCTCAGAGGGGGATGGTTTCGACAGACTTTGTTCACGCAGGCAGAGCTTTCCTGACGAAGGAAAAGTTGACAGGTACAATGAATGTTTCTTCTTGATCTCGTCCATGCTGGTTATGGTAGTTTTCTTCTGGAGCGTTGGTAATCTTTGGAGGCGGTTAATGAATCGTTTGCCCTCTCGGAAGGCTACCTCGTCTTCAATACTGTCACCTAGAATCTCGTCAGTCAAGGCATCTACTTCATTCACATTCTTTTTGCTGTCAAGGTCAATAGCTGTAACCCTGAGGCTGGGGTCTTCAAGGTTTGCTGTTCGTCGAAGACCCCAGACTGTAGAACCCCACGGCATGGATTTAGTTTCAGAAGACCTTTCGCAAGAGCTCAGCACCTGTGTAGACTCAGTTATGAGGAACAGCCGTGAATCAAGACACTCTTTTTTCACCAGCAGCTTGATTAAGAAGACGGAACTGCTGAAAGCGATGCTTTGAGCTTGATCAATCACATCGAAGTTGTCCAGTAGAAGCGTCGTTTGAACAGGCCACATGTTTATGACCCTGAGGTTGGGTGAATCTCTTTTTGGTATGCCCCAAAAGACTGTTTCAATCACTTTTTGCACTTCGCTGTTGTAAGCCACATCACGTAGTTCACCTGGCAGGTCAACTATGATCACCTTGACTTTTGCAGCCTGAAGTCTTGAGATTAAGGTGTTTGAGAAATCGGAGGAATCTTTCAACACTACGCACGTCAAATGTTCCACGCTTTCTTTTCGCTCTTCCAGTGTTAGCTCCTTTTCTTTCCAATTGACTTCATACGCAAGGTCAACGAAACCAAGTTGGCGTGGTGAGCTAGTCAACTCCGCGATACGAAACTCACACATGGTTAATAAAACGTTACCGGAAGGACTCATGAGGGTAACGTCAAATTTTCCAAAGTCGTTCGCATCAGCAGTGACGTGACAGTACAGCTGGTTCGAAGATGGAACATCATTAAGAGTAATGCTTTTGAAACCCACCGGCACAATTGACTTGTCATTGGTTAACGAAATTCCAAGCGGAACAAAGCAGGACTGTAAACAGGCGTCTAAGATGCAGGGATGGATAACATAATCTGCAGCTTCTGTTTGGATTTCCAGAGATTCACTGATATCGACCAGACAAAGTCCTTCATTGCTGCACTGCCATATTTGTTTGATGATGGAGTATGTTGGGCCGTAGTTGAAACCAAACTTCTCCGTTATTTCTCTGAATTGCTCCACCGGCATTTTGGTCATATTTATCATCAGTGCGTTTACAGCTGGACCAACCTGATTTGGAGCTGTGAATATAAAGAAGCGAAAATATTGGGTTTTTAATACGCGCAAAGCCTTCCAAAAGTATATTTACAGGTTTTTCCAGCATTTTTTGTTGTTGTAAGTTCTAAATGTCGAAGTGGCACACATTTTGAAACCTGGTTTATTAAAATGACGGAGATTGCAGTTAGATATCAAATTACAACTTTCCTTTTTGTTTGATTTGAGGATTTAACAGATTGTCATCAATCTAGCTAATAAAAGACAGTTAAAAACGAAGGGAAATTAAGACCACCGTCATCAAAGACATCGAAAACGACAACAGGCAGAACAATAATGAAAGCAACATCAAAGAACTTCTTTTCAAATATTTCTTTGTCACAATAGGTTAAGACAAAAGAAATGAATAATTTCAAAGCGAAAATAAAGTACCTTCATCTTCGCTCATTTGTCTTCTGTGCAAAAGATCAACGGAAATACTCCCACTGCTCAGTTTAATCTCAGAATGTTGATCTTGAACACTAGTAATGTTGAACTGAGTTGTGTCAATTCTGTCAGTTTTCATAAGACGTAGTCGTAAGGAGCGCACCTAAAACAGAGAAAATTAATAATTTGATGAGACGAATTGATCTTGCTACTGACAAAAAGTCAGTAGCAGCTGAGCCAAAGCTCTCCTTTCATAATCATTACTTATCCTAAAACATGTTACGTTAAAAAAATGAGAATGGAAAATGACGAATTCTAACAACATAGCAAGCATACAAAAACGTTTAGGCTATCGCATTCCATTTTCACCTTATACAATTTTGCACGTTGGTAGAAACTTTTTTTGCAGTCATTTTGAAAAGAAGTTAAAAACTGATAAGCTAATTGTTTTAGTTGGCCTACTGTTTCCACTACGTTTGAGTACTAAATTTTATTTACCTGTGTTTCAGGCAGTGTAAGAAGACTTGACAGCTTAACATCACTTAGTTCCAAGCCAGCAATATCAACGAACTTGTCCTTCGCCATCGCAAAGGCCATTTCTAGGTAGGCAGCCCCCGGCATCACAGTTACTCCCTGAATAAGAGCGTGGTCTTTCAAACTTGCAAAACGATGGACATCAATCTCGGTTTCCCAGCAGTGCAGTCCTGAAAAAAAGTCGGTCATTTTCACCTGTCCTAGAAAGGGGTGTGTTTGCTTCTTTGTGGGTTCCTCTGTTCCAAGTGGAGGAATTATGGTCATGGGTGGATGTTCCCTGTACCAAAAGCTGTTTTCCAGCCATGGATAGTTGAGCGAACGGACGAACTTGGCCGATGGATTCTTCTGTACGCATTGCCAATCAATGGGAAATCCTAGGGTGTAAAGTTTGCATATGGTGTTCTGGAGAAAGCGTTTGTGCTGGTCTTGAACAGGTACCCTCTTTCGAGGAAGTGTTGCAATGACAACTGGCAATTCCTGGTCTTTACGGTTGTTTTGAAGAGCAATTTGCTTGACGTAGTGGGCTAAAATAGGCTGCGTGCTAGCCTCAATAATCTGTTTGTAACCATCGAGTAGCAGGTTCTTCATTGCTTGATAGAACTGGACTGGGAAGCGAATATTTCGCCACCAATAATCGCTGTTTAACTGTTGACCTGAGACGACTCCACCCTCGACGGTAGAATACATTGGAATCTTCGACAGCTTAGGCTTTAATGTGATCCTTTTCATTGCTGCTTCAAAAGGTTTCTTGATAACCTCCATATGCGGACTGTGAAATGCGTGTTTTGTCCCAAGAATACGCCAGAAAGTATCCTTTGCGTGTACTGCCAGATGCTGGCCAAGGGCGTCGATGGATTCGGAATCACCAGACAGTGTCACGCTCTTCGCATCATTGACTGCGGCGATGCTTAGTGTGGCGCTTAGCTTCAATTCTGTAAGTAGTTTTTTTGCATTTTCTTCTGACATGCCCAAAGCCGCCATGGCACCATTGTTAGGGCATTTATCTTGCAATGTGGAACGAATCAGCACCAGTTGCACTGCTTCCTTGACCGTTATAATCTCAGAAACACAAGCAGCTGCAAACTCACCAAGACTGTGACCAATGACGGCTGAAGGATAGATTCGCCAGGACATCAGCAGCTGTGCAGTAGCATACTGCACAGCAAACGTGGCTGGCTGGGCGATGCAATTCTCGGAAATTCTTGATTTGTCTTCTGATGCCATCAGCTCATCTACAAGTGACCACGTCATCCCCATGTCTTTAAGTATGTTGCTTACAGTTAAAATAGCCTCTTTAAACGTTTCCTCTGTTTCAATGAGCTGTCTACCCATGGCATACCATTGAGAGCCCTGCCCGCCAAACATGAAGACGATCTTTGGGTCAGCGGAGTTTACTTCACCATAAGAAACCGACTTGTCCCATCCCACGAAGTCATTAGCGTAGTCTGCTAGAGTCTTGGATGCATCATTAGTGGATCCAAAGGCAAGTGCCAACCGGTGTGGGAGTTGACTGCGGCGTTCGTTTAAAGAGTAACATAAGTCGTTGACAAAAGATTTGTCTACTTCGTTGACATGATCTTTCAGCCATTCAGAATATTGCCGTGCCATCTTCTGTAAAGCCTCTTTAGAGCGCGCAGAGATTGTGAGAATATTATTTAAGCGATCAACGGGTTCTTCATGCACTGAGGTTTCCTTCGAGGTAACTTCGCGAAGGATGACGTGGACGTTTGATCCACCATATCCGAAGGAGTTAACTGCTCCTATTCGCAGTTTCCCTGATTCTGTGTTCCATGGTTCGCTTGTTTGTTGTACAATTAGGCCTTTCTCTTCCAACTTTAATTTGGGATTCAGAACATTTACGTTAACAGTTGGCACCAATCTTTTGTTTTTGATCATTAGAGCGACCTTGATAAGCCCAGCAAGACCTGAGGTTGACTCTGTGTGATTAAGGTTCGACTTTACCGAACCTATTCTTAGCTTTCGTGTGGGCTTTCCATGTCCTCTGGTGTAAGTATCAGCTATGGAGGTAACCTCTATCACATCTCCAATTGCAGTACCAGTGCCATGCGCTTCGAAGTAATTCACCTCGCTTGGATTCAATCCTGACTTTTCTAGCACCGTTCTGGATAATTCAGCTTGCATTTTTGCACTTGGGGCGGTCATCGGTACGGCATTTTGTCCATCGTTGTTCATACCGCAGGCAACTATTTCGCAGTATTGATCATCTTTGTCACTTAAAGCTGCATTGGATAGCTTCAAAACAACTGCTGCAAAACCTTCTCCCCGTCCATAGCCGTCGCCAGAGGCATTAAAACTTTTGCAGCGCCCGTCAGGTGCCAGGAGACCAGCCATACTGGATACCATCTGCATGGAGTGATCGAGAATGATGTTAGATGCACAGATAATTGCTATATCGCAATCTTCGTTGTGCAGATTATCACAAGCGAGCTTCAGAGCAGTTAACGATGAAGAGCATGCCGTATCAACGGCTAGACTTGGACCTGTTAGGTTAAGACAAAAGGACACTCTATTGGCAAGAATGGATGCTGTGATTCCCGTAGATGAAAACTGGTCGATGTTATTGTAATTTGATGGGTCGGTTATAAGTGTTCCGTACTCAAGATTCATCACACCGACAAAAACCCCTGTTCTACACCTTTGAAGATCTTCAAGTCGCATTCCGGAATCTTCAATAGCCTCGTATACCACTTGTAGAAGAATTCGCTGTTGAGGATCCATTCCACGGGCCTCTTGATTGGAGATGCCAAAGAACCTGTTGTCGAAACGCTGTATTTCTTCCAGGTAAGAGCCATTGACGGCACAGAGACGTCCACTGACAAATCGCTCAGGATGATATAGTTGGAAGAAAGTTTTGTGCTCTTCTTTTCTATTCTGGGGAAACGCGCCAATGGAATTCTTTCCTTTCTCAAGCAAATCCCAGAACAGGTCCTTGCTGCTGGCTCCAGGAAATCTGCAGCTAATACCAATTATGGAAATGGCAGGGCGTTCAGACTTCGGTTGTTTTAAGTGATCATCTTGTACCTGCAAGGGCATTACGTTTGTTTCCGTCTGGGTAGGCAGCATTTCAACGTCATTCTGACAAGTAAAACTATCCACTAACTCGAAAATTAATACGATGAATGGTGGGAAAATAACGAGAGCGTGAATCAGTCCTAGGACTAATACAAGAGGGATCAGTCGACTAAAAATGTCTGCCAGACTTGGATAAATAAACCCCAATGAGACCGATCCAGCTATATGAACTACCGCTGCAACAAGCACAGACCACCAGACAGAGCTCAGGGCTTCAACCATACGATCTCGAACAGCTTTCATTTCTGAAAATACAAATGAATGGGCCACTTGGATGCTGAAACTCAGCGATAGGATAACTGTCAAATAGAGGGCAAGAAAGGAAATGTGATTGAGATGAATTCCCCAGGCCTCCATGATGCCTGCTGCCTCCAGGACAAGTATGTCCAGTGTTATAGCTAGGTAAGCACTAATCCTGAAACTTGAACTTGCGAGCAACGAATGTACAAACACTACAACGGTGGCGATAAGAAGAATAAAGACGGTTTCTCTTTCCAACAAAAAGAGGTCATCAAGTTCCAAAAATGTCTCAGACACTGGTATCGCTTCTTGGGACGACTGTGTGGAAAGGTCTCCCCTTAATTCTTCAAGGGACCTTCTGTCTTCTCTATAGCGGTTGCGTACAACCATCTTTAAATGAACACGAGATGCTAAAATGTTGCGTCTGAGATTTCCTACTCCAAAATGTAAGTCTTGACGAAAAGGGACGTGAAGGGTCTGATTAAGAAATACGTCTAGACATTGGAAAAAATCAGACTTCGAGCATTTTATGTTTTTAAAACTCACCCACTGCCGTAAGGATGCCATCCAACACAACGATTCCCTCGCACTGTAGGGGGCCTCTTGGAGCATTTTACAAGTGTCTAAAATTGTATCTTGTACAGAATCCCGTGAATACTCCATTTCCACGGGGAAAACGATGCTCGTGTCAGTTTCTTTACCAAAGAACTTTTGTTGTGCTTTACTGAACTGCTTGAAATTTTCATTTTGGTAAAGTGCCTCGGTGGTTCCCGCTCGCTCATCAGGCTGTAAAGCAGACGACAGGCACAAACTAATGATGCAAGCAGAGATGAAAAGTGAGAGAATTTTACCACCCAGTGACGTTATTATCTGGGCATAGACTCTCAAACTGTGTCGTAGTTTCGCATTTAGCCATTGTATGGACCCGTTTTGCAAGCCTCCGACTTCGGCGATTTGCGATCCTCTGCGACGAGGCACAGACGAGGTGTCCATGTTCTTTACTCGCCTTTCAAAATACGTCAACAAAGTGACTGTTACTATGAAAGATGAAACCGAGAGAACTGTAAAAGTTACAATCGCTACGGTGAAAAATTCGGAAATCACATCAAAGGAAGATTTGATTGCGATTCCAATCGAAATTGTTCCACACAATGCCGACAATGCAGCAGGTAGTCCCGCTCTCGTAACACAGTTACTGACGTGGTGTTCAAGTGATGGCACCTTACGTCGTTCCCATTCCACAAGGAAAAGTATCATGTCTGAGGTTGCTTTACCCAAAAGCAAAAAGGGAATAAACAGGGTAGTTGGGAAAAGAGAGGTGTTCGTCATCGAGATAATACCTGCAGAAAAGGTCATCGGAAATAGAATTGATGAAATCATCAGTACGACTATTTTTAGGCAACTGTGATTATTAGAGGAAAGGAATATGAGAATAAAGACAAGAACAGCCATTGCCACAGGTGTAACATAAAGTGGCCATAGCTCCACTCTCAAAACGGTTTCCAATGCATCGTTTCTTGTTTTCCCAGTCTTGAAGGCGAGTTCTGCACATTTCAAGTGACGACCCAACGACGGGAGGAGACTCTCAAAAGATGTTTCAAAGTTGATAACTGCTTGGTCTTCTTCTTTAGTTGTTGCCTTTTTAAGGAAGTAAATAAGTCGTAGGGCGTCAGCCCGACCAGTCGGCGGATTTGTTTTCCGTTGAACTTGAAAATTACTCAACAATCGCTTAAAGGAAGAATTGAAAGTTTGACCAGAGGAGAGAACGACAGTGGAGTTTGCCAACTCACCAACCAGAATGGAAGAAAGGTTCCCCAGATTTTCAAACTGAGTACCAGCTAATTCGAGAGGACTGCTGATGATGCAGTCATGTTCAGCTGGTTTGTGTTGGGTGTCTGAAAGCAACTGCCTCGAGCATATTTCACTGTAGCCACTAATGTTTACTATGGTCTTGTGGACGAGAACGGCGTCTTTCAAACAATCTTCACTCAGGATATCTTGACCATGACTAGGGACCATGATGATCTGTTCTTGGCGCGCTTCAAGAAGTGGAAAGAACTGTGCTGCTTGATGGAAGTCTTTCTTGGATTGGCTGTCAGTGGCAGTGAAGCGTTCAACAGAGGGAAGCTCGACACGAAGGCGAATGAATCCCAGGCAGCTTACAGTGCCAATTATAAGTGACAGAAGAAATACAACCCACGGTTTACGAGCTAGAAACAACCCCAATTTCTCGAATGTTTTCTCGTAGGTAAGGAGGGTGCCGTAAGATAGGTATCTTCGTCTTCTGAAGATGTCCCCACATCCAAGGTCACGCTTTTTACGGGTCGGGTGAATATGGTACGACCTAGACGCAAATATGCGATTTTGTTTAACTATTGTTTTTTATTGAAAACTCATGGTTGACTTGAGGGTACAGAAGGAGAGACTGAGGTTCGTGTCGTTGCTAAGGTAAAGAAATATTGGAACGTGAGAAAACAAACTACACGAATAAACCGGCACACTCATAAGGATTCTTTGCTCAGAAGGCTTGGGGCTGAGGGGCGGGGGGCGGGGGGCGGGGGGAGGTTAGTATGATGACTACAAAGGGCATTTCATGTTTGGAAAATTCAACATTTCACAAGACAATCTGAGGTGTCAAGAGCAGTCGGTCATAAGACAACATCACACCCGCATGTTTGCAATAAAAGCAATTTACCTCGAAGTGTCTTTTGGTCAATCAAGTCATGTTTTCTAAATAACGTTAAAGAACATGACACACCCACGAACTTCTCCATAACTTTCTTTATGACAGGTAGAACAGTTGACTTGTGCCTAGACTCTTTTCGGAAAACTATTCCGTATGACGAAATTGAACAATTGCTTTTGTTGTAATTTATTGTAACCCTTCTTCACCCACAAAACACAGAAGAGCACTCATTGTTTCGTTACTAAGTATTCGCGCATCGAGATCGAATTTAAATTTGGAGAACGAGGGGAAAAGTCCTCGGAGGAGGGCGAGAACCACAGCAAACTCAACTACTAAGGATGCCGGGTCACACATTCAAACAAGGGGGACATTGGTGGGTGACGGGGGCTTTCACCACTGTGCAACCCGTGTTCCCTAAATGCTGAGTTGCAGAAACGCGTCCTATTGAGGCGTAAGTATAAAAGAGGTTCATCATACTGCAGGGCTTATGTCATACAATGATGCGCCTTAACTGGCATTTGTAGCCTTTGCAAAAAAATATGGAATCTGCAGGTTATAAGGTGCAGAAGTATTTTTTTCGTTCACGGTTGAAGAAAAGTTAAAAACAAGCATCTTTTAGCGAGATATTTAAGCAGGTTGTAACAGTAATATATCTCCTGCCTTGTTAACGATATTGACAGCCTCCTGCCTTGTTAACGAAATTGACAGCCAAATGAAAATAATTATCGTTACAAGGTCTGAAATGAAAATAATAATGATACAAGGTCTGAAATTGACTAATGATTTGTTTGTGCAACTTTTAGTAACAAGCAATGCAATGCAATGCAAAGCAATGGTGAACGCACTGACAGCTTTTTGCCTCTAACGCGATTACCCACATACCCTACGCTTGGTCACGTGCGCACCACTTAAATGGGTTCTCAAACGTTTAAATTGCCCCTTTTTGTTAGTAACTGTCCTAGTCAACTAGTCGGAATCCAATCAGCATGAGTTCAAGAATAAGTCATTCCTTTTTGTGGCTCTTACCTGTAGTAGTCAGGCAGCCACTACCTTATCAGTCATGTAAGAACGCAAGTAGGAAATCCGATTTTGTACAGCTATTGGGTCTTCTGTGACTGATGATCAAACAGAAGTCCGTACAATGTTGGGAATCATAAGATGTTCGAACAAGTATCGTTTTTTGCTCGGTTTTGCAAGATAGTGCTGGCTAAATTCGATTTCTCTCGCCAATGATCGGCTGTGTTGATATCGACTGCAACCACAGACATCGTGAAGACAACGTTTTGTTTTTTCCATGTGATCTAGAGTTGTAAAGTACAATACTCTTTATCTGCGATGTTTTCATGCTACTCTCGACAAGCAATCAGGTACAGCATTCAAACAACGCTGAGATGTATGAAAGACAGGCATGATGGCCGAATGATTTGTTCAGCTCAGCTTTTCGAAATACTCAATGTACAGGATCTGGCAATTCATACCACTTGTGTTCGGTAAAAGATGCCCTCAACGCAAACAGCTATCAAACAGTAGATCTTAGAGCAGTTTTCACATGAGTGTCGAAAAGTAATTGGTTTTGCATTCTAAGCTTCACGATTGGCTTAAAAAAATTCCCGCCACTTTTTTATCCAATCAAACGTAAGAACAGCTACATGTATTTACTTCGAGTTTTGATTGGTTCAATGGATTTCTTTGTCCTTTGTGATTGGCTAGAGTGATTTCTTTGGGTTTGGTTTTAGAGTGGTTCTCAATGGAGTGTCGAAAGTCATCAGGTAATTACTTTGGTTTTGGTTTTGGTTTTCACTATGGTTTGAGATTGGCTGAATAGTCAAATTGGTAAGTAAATGATTTGGCTCTGGGTCTACGCATAGATAATAGAGGGGACTGGTTATGAAGCCCGGAAAACATCAAAGGAGCCAACAAAGATTTCAAGATTTATGTTGGAAGGTCCGTGATCGTGCACAATCTTTTGTTTTGCGCTCATACACTATGCATGATTACGTAACCAAAACGTTTCTATTGGTTAGTTCCTCAGTACGGAGTAAACAACTATTGTGTTTTGTGCACCGTCAAGGCTAAAAAAGCGAACAAAAACAAACAACAAAGAACTTTGACGGGTTTCATAACCATTCCCCTCTATTAACTATGGCCTACGAGACTGTTTTTCAATTAAAATTGAAAACCACTCTAGAGTGAAGATATTAATCAGACCAGAAAATAAATAAGCTTTAGTACACGGCGACAATATCAACTGAGTAATTGATTGCATTGCTTCAGATAAAACTGACTCTATTAAAAGTGTGGTGTGGGAAAATGCAATAATAAAGTACAAGAAGGAGAAAGCCACCATTTGCGGAATATAAAAGCTTGTGTGTTCGACCAGTGCAAGTATGTAAACACACATGAATCCACAGTAATTGCAGAAATTGATGATGTACCAAATGTCAATTTCATAACCCGTTGTGTTGGGGTTGAGATAAAGAAGTCCTAATCATCTTTAGCCTGTAACAAGACAGTACTTGATGACAATAAGGATGATAAAGAAACAATTACTTGTCAAAACCGTCAAGTGACTACTTTGATTTAGTTTTGTAACACCAATTTTGTTTGACAAGATCTTGTGAAGACTGAACGAATCATTTTGAGCTATACATGCTTTAATGACGGTCTACAGAGCTTTCTTAAGAGTTCCAAACTTGAGCCATAACTTTGTGAAATCGATCAGTTTAAATTAATCAAAGAAGCTTATCCTGAAGGGTGGATCACAAAAGATGCATAGAGAAAAGCTGCACGACGAATAGAGTATACCTGTTTCAATTACTTTTTTCTCATTTAAATATCTGTTCAGCTGTTGTTCTGGAATTTCCTGGGTAGCCAATATTTTTAAAAGAAACCATTGAAACGTCATCGTTTCTGGAAGCATTGCGTGCTTTTCATTTATACCAATGTTCTTCTACAAAAATAAGGACTTCACGGTAAATAGCGGGGCGGAGTTGCAGCCGATGTGACAAAACGTACCCAATCCGGTACAAAATACAGGAAATACATAGAACAAATCAAAGTAAAGAAAGGTTGGAGCACAGCGGAAAGAATCACCCGAGCGAGTCAAACAAGATCCTCATGACATTACTAAATTAACATATCTGTAATAGAACGGTCAAATTAGCTTTTCTTTCAGAACAAATCATCTTAATACATATACATGTATGTAGTATATTTATTACATGAAGTGGAACGGACAACATGGCATTCCAATTCTATATGATAATTTGCGGACTTCATGCTTCGCCGAGCGGAAACCAAAACACGGCCGAACACATGAGGGAAAAATATGCGCGGAGACTCGAGGTTTTAAAATCTAAAGACCATTTAACTTTTCTACAGGCTGATTCTTGAATTTACACACTGCTCAGTATCGGTGAGTCCGATGATGCCGTCCTCAAAATTAAGTTGTGTAAAAAATCCATCGTTTTCCCAAGGCTTAACCATACGTTAAAGAAAGTACATTTTTCTAGGCACAAGACTGCTCTTCAATTCCTGCCATTACAAGAATTGCAAATAAAATATCTTTAACGAGATTATTTCATTGTCTACAGGCCGGAACTTATTCTCGCTGACCGGTTTTCGATTCTTCTGATATCAGCATCATTTTAATCCATGAAATAAAGCAACAAACAACAGATTTTATAAGCTTAAAACTGGCTTAAATGCAGAGCCGCGTAAACGTTCCTAAAATGGAAGGTATGGAATTCTACACTGACAATCTGTTTTCGGAAACCCTTTTGATAAAGGGTTGTAAATACTGAAGTCCCAAAAAACTAAATGCAACCGTGACAAAAGAAAAATCTAGGGATCACAATGAGCCGATTAAGAACTATCATATAATGCGCACTTTCCGATAGTAAACAGACAGGTATGAATCAGAAATAACCCAGTTCAGCGATTTCCTAAAGCTGCAATTTTTCAAAATGGTGGATACTGGTAACATGGAAGTTCCGGAATCTTATTCCTCAACTCTTACTACTGCAAGAAAATTTTGAAAATTTTGGCCTGGGTGATTCAAAATCGGTTTTTTAGAGGGTTTTTGAGATATTTAGAAAAATTGCTGTGATATTTGGAAGATTTTTGGAGTATTTCTGGAAAAATATTTAGGCGATTTTAAGTAATATTTGAGGAAGGGCCTGGGAAATGGCCATGTGAGCACTGTTTTCCCGCCATTTATTACATTTTCTGTTCACTACGTTTTCTGTTTACCTTTACTTGTAAAGAAAGACCGAACAAAGATGGAAAAACACTGAATTTTAAATTTGGTTTATCCCCTGACTGCATTTTGGATGAAAATTGGGACTGCAGCCTACTAGATAACAGTCTGAAAAGTGGAGCCCGGGGCCTTGAAGTAGGTGCTATGGAGCCCTGGAGCCCCACTATTTCGCCTTGGGACTATGGAGCCCTTCTTCTCTAGGCCCGGAGCCCTAGAGCACTGAACCCCTAACGGACCCTGATTTCTGTCCTTCTACTTCCAATGGGCGCAAAACACAACCAACTGCCGAGATATATACCGCACAACGCCGAATAGATGATGTAGAGTATTGGCTGTTATCAGCACCTATTGTCAAGCAACCAATTAGAACCTGGAGAAGCAGAGGGTACTGGAACATGTTTGTAGACAGGCTACTATTTTGATCAATTCGTCGATTAAGAGGGAATCGATTTTCAATGAGGGATAATTTTTGAGTCAATGACAAAAACACTAGCAAACATCGTATGCAAACGAAAAGTTTTAAATTGACCAGCTGATAAAGTAGGAAAATATGTCCTTCAAAGCCTGCCTAAATGAGCGTTATTGGATACACTGGGCCAGCAACACGCGCATTGAACATACGAAGTTGTATTGTGAAAATCAAAGAGAGCCTTGATCTTCCCACCATTCATTTGATATTTTCTGTGCAAAATTACCACTTTCCTTGATGTTCTGGTGAAAACTACTCATTGCTCACAACGGCGATTCAAAGGCAAACAAAACCACAAAAGGATGTGGAAGAAAAAGAAAGCTATAAGAAGAGAAAAAACGTGAGCCAAGATAAGACTAGA